TTCAATATTAAACCTGAACTGAACTTTTTTTTAAAAAAAGTTCAAGTTCAAGTTCAGTTCAATTTTAAACTGAACTTAAACTTGGCTAAAAGTTTAGTTCAGTTCAGTTTATAGGAACACTAATTGTAGGTAAATGTTAGTTATACCCAAAATTTTGCAAAGAATTTTTTAGTTAGGATGCAAAAGGTAGGTTTATAAGCAAAATTATAAGTTATAAGCGATTTTTTCAAAATATCACTATTTTTTTCAATTTTACATTACACCTGATCTTATGATCTAATTGGTTGTTCAGGTGGGTGCGTTACAACACAGGTGCGCTAAATTATAAAACCTAATAACATATATCTAAAATCTGATATTTATTTAAAAAATCTTTTTTATTAAGTTAATTACTCTTCTTACTTAATAGACAATTGTAGAGCTCATTAAGATAAATTTAATAGTAGTAAAACTATCAAAATCAATTTAGTAGTTGTCAAAATATTATTAAAATAATTAACCAACTATATAAAATTTTTATAAATAATTATTTGTTTATATAAAATTTTATATAGTTAACCAATTATTTTTAACAATATCTTAACAATTACTAAACTAATTTTGATAATCTTACTACTATTAGATTTATATTAATAAGCTCTATAATTGTCTATTAAATAAAAAAGTGTTTACTTAATACAGTACTAGACAAAAAACTCTGCACCTATATCTGCTTACAAAAAGATACTATAGTCTTAAAATTTTCTAAAAATTTAGTAAATAGTTAGCCTAGATTATATATTTTTTTAATAATTTTTTGATCACTAAAAAATTTTTAGATAAGAGCTAAAGTTTTGAACAATTTTTTTTACAAGAATTTAAAAATTACTATATTTTCTTCAAAATAAACTATCTTTTTTTAGCAATTTTGAGTTTAAAAATCAAAGGTAGCTTATTTTCAAATCTAATAGATTTTTAAAAATTTTAATTAATTATTATTAATTATTATATACATATATATTTTATATATAGTAATTATATCTAGATGGCTTATTTAGAATAAAAGATATTTTGTTTTTAAGCAAAAAAGAGGTAGCTTATTTTTGAAAATAGCTTATTTTTGAGGGTAGCTTATTATAAGGAAAATACAGTAATTGGTTTAATTAAAAATTAATAAATCATCAGAATCATATTAAAAAATTCTAAAAGTTTAGTATATTAAAATTTAATAATTTTATACTAGTAATAAAAAATTTGACTTAATTTGATGAAATAGTTATTGAAAAATTAAATTTTAAAAGTTAACTTTTATTGTTATTTTATTTTGTTCAAAAAAAATTTAGTGCAAACAGGTTTTTATTAATTTTATTATATAATTTATTATAAATTACATAGTAAAATTAATAAAAAACTGTTTGTGCTAAATTTTTTTAAACAAAATGAAATAACAATAAAATTTAAACTTTAAAAATTAATTTTTTAATAACTATCTCATAAAATTAAGTCAAATTTTTTGTCACTAGTATAAAAATTATTAAATTTTAATATATTAAATTTGTAGAATTTTTAAATATAATTCTGATTTTTTATTAATTTTTAATTAAATCTAATTAATTTTTTAATTTTTGTTAAAAAATTTTAACTCTCATTTAAAATTTTTTCTAATAATTAAAAAATTACTAAAAAAATATATAACCTAAGCTAACTATTTACTAAATTTTTAGAAAGTTTTAAGACTATAATATCTCTCTGTAAGCAGATATAGGTGTGAAGTTTTTTTTGTCTGGTACTGTAAAAAAGTTTTTAGTTAAATGCCAAATTTTAGATATATATAATTTATATAGTAATCTATATTATATTATACTAGTTAAGTAATAAATCATTAATTAGACAGAAAGTAATTTTATATATAAAGCTAGCTATTTAATAAATATAAAAATTATAAGAAAAAAACAAAAAATATATTTTAATCTGTGCTTAAATATAAAATTATATATATATAATTTTGAGGCAATTTCTAATTGTATATGGGTGTTTGTACACAGATATATGACGATATCTCAAAATTTTGATTATGAAACCACCATTTGGCTTCTAACAAAAAAAATTCTTCATAAAATTTTGGTATAAGCTATTCTTCCACCCCATTCAAATTCACCCTTACCCTAACCTTAGGCAATATCTAACTTTTCATTCTATCGAAATTGTTTTGATTTGCATATTACACAAATTTGCAAATCAAATAATTAATACCTGTGTATATATACTACGTGTAAGATTAGATTTTTCCTAATTTTAAAATAATATTTTATATATTTTAATAAAGAAATTAAATTAAAATAACCAGTGGTGATCATCACTACTTTAATTTTTAGGGTTAGGGTACATTTTTAGAAAAAGCTAGAGATCAAATATAAAGATTCAAATTTTAGTTAGTATTAGGTTTTTGGGATCCTAAACATTTTTGCTTAGTACCCCTAAGATGTGTTAGCTAGTAGATTTTTGAGATTTAGCACCCTGGTGTTGATCACTACTGGTTATAGTTAAATTAATCCTTTAATAAATATTTTGTTTATAATATTATTTTTTTAATCTATTAAATTTATCAGAAATTTTTTTTGTATATCAGTTCATGTAACTTTGCGTACATCAATTCGGCTCAGCCAATAAAATTGTGTGAAATTTTAGATATTATATTAGCTTAAGTTTGTATAACATCACATATATCAATTCAGCTCAGCTAATAAAATTGCAGTAAATTTTAGATATTAAAATTCATGTAACATCACGTATATCAATTCAGCGTAGCTGATAAAATTGTAAAATTATATTTCAGAAATTAAAATTTCAAGAAATAACATGTTTCTAGATATTAATCAAAAGATAGGAGTTGCAATGATGCATAAGATCGATGCATATGATATAATAAATAAAAGTCAAATGAAATATATTTAAAAGCGAAAAAAAAACTTTACCCTGCAGTAGATTGTCCTGTTAATATCATTAATAACATGGATTCTGTTGATATCATTAATAATATAGAATCAGAATTTATCTATCAGACCACTGATAATACATATATAAATACTGATATTATGGAGTCAGAACATATCTTTGAAACCTTTAACAATCATATATATCATAGTACTACAGATTTTATAGAGCTAAAATATGCTACAGATGCTATAGTATCAAAATATACTTTTGAAACTTTTGATAAAGTTTTTATGGATAATAGTGTTTTTAAATCAAAAAATGCTTTAGAAACACATATAGATAGTAGTGTTGTAGAGTCAGGACACATCTTTGATACTTTCTCTAAAGCATGTGCAACAATCAAGCAATATGCTACACAAACAAATACCATTGTAATTTTAGGTAAAACAACATGAAATTCAGATAATAGTGACTATAGACAAGCAACATTTGTTTGTGAAAAACAAGACAATTACAATAGAACGAATGAAGAACATACAACAAAACGTATTGGATGTCCTTTTGCAATCACTATAAATTATCGCAAACACTCAAAAATTTGCTATAACAAAATTAAAGTTGGAGCATAATCATGAGCCCTGTTTGGACACTGTAAAATTTAGCACTGTTGCACATAAATTTGATAAAGATGTTCTTGGTTTGATAGAAAAACTCCATGATGATGGATTAAGAACCAAAGATATATTTTCTGTACTTAACTCAGTAAGCTGCAAGTATATTCACAAGCCTGATGTTTATAATGCTGTAAGTTGTCATTGCCAGTATAAACTTCATGGCTTGAATGAGATTGAAATGCTCTTTAAGACTTTATATGATGATGAAAATATCTTAGGGTATACTGCATTAAAAGCAGCTTATAATACTGAAAGAGATCAAGACAGTAAATTCATTCAAGGAATTTTTTGGGTGTACCGTAATGTATTCTCTGAATTTATGATTGCAAAGGATGTTCTTATTATTGATGCCACATACAAGACCAACAGATTTTCCATGCCATTGATAGTTATCTGTAGCATTGATAGATTTGGATCTACATACCCATTAGCCTTTATACTTGTATATTCTAAAACTATTGACTTTTACTGCTAGGTAATACAGCAATTAAATAAGGCGTTAATTGAGTTAATAGGTAACTTATTCTATTTGCTAATTTTTTTTTTTACAGATTCTTTTTATTTTATTTGTTACTTTTTTTGTTTATTTTATTCATTCTATTTTTATTTTTTTTGTTATTTTTTTTTTTTGGTGTTAAGGTGAGGCCTTGCTTATATCTTTATTAATAATTTTTTAAATAGTTACAATATAAATTACTACAGCGCAGTTACTAAGGCTTCCACTTGTGGTTAGGGCTAACCATTAAACCACTATATATGTAGAGATTTACAAAGCTACTACTATTTGTACTAGTACAAATAAAGTTAAAATTATATGCAAGAATAAGAGCTCAGACAGAGAAAAATTTATCTGTAACCTAAACCTACTAGAGTGGTCAAAGACTCACCTAGATT